GAACCAAAAGGTAATTCGTTTCGAGATGCACCTATGCTTCCGATGATTTAGCGTGTGAGCAGATAAAAATCTGAATGTAGCCTCCATTCCCACGGCGTTCGCGGCTACAAATTATCGAGTGCACCGAGATACAAGAAATACGGAGATTTGTGATCTGACTGTAAAATCTACACGTGCGCGACCCTCTGAATCACTAGACACTTTCACCGTGTTACGATCGATATCCAAAATGTCGCGTCGGAGTTATCGATGTTGGAAATCAAATATTGTACAATAGAACTGTTGGTTATAAACAAGAACGCAACGGATTCCATATACTGTTATTCTATATATGACCACCTTTGAACTCTTCAAAAATCTGTAACCTTTCAAAACTTCAGATCTTACTTAAATTTTAATTTGGACTTGTAATGATCCAATCTTGATGCATCTTCTTCAGGTAGCTTCTTCTCTGAGGCAGATGTTAAAATAACCCAAGCTTCATAGAAGTTATTTTAATGTGAAAGAATGCAGAAAGGTTCATTCATGTTGTTTGACTAGGAAGGTACATCCATCTGACCCCAAAGAGAAACAATAAGTTCTTGAACATAAATTAGCAGTAAAATTAGAAATTATGGTTGGGTAGTTCGATGACAGTTCACTTACAAAGAATCTGAAGTATAAGTTCACTGAGACGTGATAATTTATAGATTAACTGGAAAGGCATATGTGGCATGATCATATGAGGATCATATGTGGATCACATCTTCCATGTGCTGCAGCAACATTAAGTTTGAGTAACATGAGTTTAAATATTCGAGTGAATTTACAGAATAGTCATTGAAGTACCAGAAAGGTCCTTGAAGTACCAGAGAGGTCCTTGAAGTACCAGAAAGGTCCTTGAAGAACCACAAAGGTGCTTGAAGTACCACAAAGGTGCTTGAAGTATCCAGAAAGGTGCTTGAAGTACTACAAAGGTCCTCGAAGTACCAGAAAGGTCCTCGAAGTACCAGAAAGATCCTCGAAGTACCACAAAGGTGCTTAAAGTACCACAAAAGTCCTTAAAGTACCAAGAAGGTTCTTGAAGTATCACAAAAGTCCTCGAAGTACCACAAAGATCCTCAAAGTACCAAAAACGTCCTTGAAGTACCAAAAAGCTCCTCAAAGTACCATAAAGCTCCTTAAACTACCACAAAGCTCCTCGAAGTACCAAAAAACTGCTTAAAATATCCTTCCAAAAGTCCCAAAAAGTTTGACCTAATAAGTAATAGAAATCCCCAGTAAGTCAAAGCGCTGATGTACGCCTGACCCTGAACGAAAAAGCCCCCTCTCAGGTCCCCGTATTCTCGTGTTTTTCTCTTTGCTCTGGTGAACGCCACGGAGCTACAGCCAGCATCTGACCCCAAAGAGAAACAATAAGTTCTTGAACATAAATTAGCAGTAAAATTAGAAATTATGGTTGGGTAGTTCGATGACAGTTCACTTACAAAGAATCTGAAGTATAAGTTCACTGAGACGTGATAATTTATAGATTAACTGGAAAGGCATATGTGGCATGATCATATGAGGATCATATGTGGATCACATCTTCCATGTGCTGCAGCAACATTAAGTTTGAGTAACATGAGTTTAAATATTCGAGTGAATTTACAGAATAGTCATTGAAGTACCAGAAAGGTCCTTGAAGTACCAGAGAGGTCCTTGAAGTACCAGAAAGGTCCTTGAAGTACCAGAGAGGTCCTTGAAGTACCAGAAAGGTCCTTGAAGTACCAGAGAGGTCCTTGAAGTACCAGAAAGGTCCTTGAAGTACCAGAGAGGTCCTTGAAGTACCAGAAAGGTCCTTGAAGTACCAGAGAGGTCCTTGAAGTACCAGAAAGGTCCTTGAAGTACCAGAGAGGTCCTTGAAGTACCAGAAAGGTCCTTGAAGTACCAGAGAGGTCCTTGAAGTACCAGAAAGGTCCTTGAAGTACCAGAGAGGTCCTTGAAGTACCAGAAAGGTCCTTGAAGTACCAGAGAGGTCCTTGAAGTACCAGAAAGGTCCTTGAAGTACCAGAGAGGTCCTTGAAGTACCAGAAAGGTCCTTGAAGAACCACAAAGGTGCTTGAAGTACCACAAAGGTGCTTGAAGTATCCAGAAAGGTGCTTGAAGTACTACAAAGGTCCTCGAAGTACCAGAAAGGTCCTCGAAGTACCAGAAAGATCCTCGAAGTACCACAAAGGTGCTTAAAGTACCACAAAAGTCCTTAAAGTACCAAGAAGGTTCTTGAAGTATCACAAAAGTCCTCGAAGTACCACAAAGATCCTCAAAGTACCAAAAACGTCCTTGAAGTACCAAAAAGCTCCTCAAAGTACCATAAAGCTCCTTAAACTACCACAAAGCTCCTCGAAGTACCAAAAAACTGCTTAAAATATCCTTCCAAAAGTCCCAAAAAGTTTGACCTAATAAGTAATAGAAATCCCCAGTAAGTCAAAGCGCTGATGTACGCCTGACCCTGAACGAAAAAGCCCCCTCTCAGGTCCCCGTATTCTCGTGTTTTTCTCTTTGCTCTGGTGAACGCCACGGAGCTACAGCCAGCATCAGACCCCCTCCGTGCCTCTAACGCCAGGGCCCCGTGGGTCCCAGAGGTGGGGGTGGTGTAGGGCCCGCAGCCAGTGTATCCGGGTACACCGAGAAGGCTCCGTACTCCCTCCATCTCGAAACTCTTTTTCTGGTCTCCTTTTTGCTGCCAGGGACCGAGTCCGTGCTCCGACGAAGAGAGCCGATAGGGCCCGGAGACTTATGGAGTACATAATGATGCGCCCTGCGGTATTATGTCGACTTAACAGATACGTATGCATGCTTGGTAAGCAGAAAACGCGATGTCCACTCGAGAAGCTGGACCTCGGCCACCGTACGAGGCGGGCCTTTTGAGAAACTGACACGGGGACCGCTTTTTGGGACTTATTCTTATGATGTACTGTGGTATTTCACTTATACTTCTCTTTGTAGGGTATTTTTTTTTGGGAACATTGAATCTATGAGTTACTGAGGAAGAGAGAAATTCCGTAGTGCTATTAAGTGTGTCTGATTGGTGCCGGACACACCTAAATTTTGAACCATGTGACAGTTACTTTGAAACGTGCGAACGGTTTCAAATGGTCTAGTTAGGGGAAAGAACGCGGATAGAAGCTGAGGAATTCGATCAGAATTCTGCGTGGAAATTACCTTGCAGCGTTAGAACTTTTATTTCTATCGTTCACTATGTGTCACATCATGTGTGTATTCGCCATACATTGGATTTTGAGATTTTTCTAAATCATCAAGCTTCAATCAAGCTTATATTCAGTTTCATACATATTAAAGAAGCTTCAGGCTCATACATTTGATCATACATCACACATACCACACGTCGTGATTATATATTTGAACACGTGTCACATGAACATATGTGTCATACGAATATGTTGTTTGGTTTAGACATACTGTATCACTTGAACGTATTATATCATATGTAGATAATGTATCATATGAACATATAATATTATATGAATATATTGTATTATATAAACATACTGTAACATATGAACATGTGGGATCATATGAACATATGTGATCATCTGAACATATTGAATCACTTGAGCATATTATATCATATGAACATATAGGATCGTCTGAACATACTCATATTACTATGTGAACATACTATTTCACCTAAACATACTGTCACATATGAACATGTGTGATCGTATGAACATATGTGATCATCTGAACATATTGATCACTTGAGCATATTGTGTCATATGAACATGTAGAATCGTCTGAACATACTCATATCACTATATGAATATACTATCTCACCTGAACATACTGTCACATATGAACATGTGTGATCATATGAACATATGTGATCATCAAAACATACTGATGATATCTTAATACACTTACTGGGTACACTAAATAAAACTTAACTAACAATATTTTTAATAATCTGTATTATGAAGCAGTAACCTACATGTGACCACATGTGACCACATGTGACCAAGTGAACGATCCCTGACGAAAGTAATCCTAAATTTAAATTCCGATAAAAAAGTAATGAACAGGTTCCGAAGATGATGAACGTGATTTCGTGCACGTGGATTCGATTTCCAGGCAAGCAAACGTGAATATTGCATGAGATAGCCGTCGATCTTGGCTAACTGTTACACGACGCTCCAGATTTGGGGAAGTTGGATAGGCGACGGCCAATTTTGTAAGGCCGGTAGTCGCGTTTGGTAATCCGGAAGCGATTACACCCGACGTATCGACCACGCGACATTTTATTCGCGACGTTCGTAGAATATCGGATCGTTCCAACGGCAGATGGGACCTTCTTGCGCGATTTCTTCGGCCAACGAAGGTCGGAGACCACAACTTTTCATGCGCGATTTTACGCAACTTTCGGAGTCGATGCTCGTTTCGCGTGTTCTATCATTGCCACGTGGCACACGCGTGTCTCTGATTCTAGGTCGTTCAATGATTGATTCTACCAACTTTGTAAACAAGGATTTCCGTGAAGGATTTAGGCACTGTTTGTGCCAGGCGCTAATACCGTTCTCAACATACTGAATTCCACATGTTGAATTTTTTTAGTTTTATTGTTGTTATATCTTGCATTTCTATTCAGGATCTTATCGTTCATTTAGATGTTTTAGATGTTTACATTTACATAGAACAAGATTATATCACTGTTTTGAGATAAAATAAATAATTTGAAGAGTCAGGTCCTTTGAGAGTTGAATTTCTTCGCTCTTTAATTTATTACTATATGAACATTGCTAGAAACCCTGGTATCAGACAAAAGAATTTTCCTACGTCACAAAATGTTGCAGCATAAAAAATTTTCTAACACAAGATTTCAATCAACACCAATTTTTTCGTTGGATTTTGCAACACGACGCGAGAAATAGGAGTCTCGCAGGAGACGTGTTACAACAGTTATCATGAATATGGTTACAATTGAACGGTGCTCTAAAGGACCATAAATACTTGTATGTTTGCAGATCCGACGAGGATGATCCTAACGGGTGTAAATATAGAAGGCTGGAGGACGAGAATGTACAGGACAAAGAAAGATTTGCGAGGTGAGTGTCAGGCTCGACGTGTAACGTGCATGCTTTCTTACGATAAATGAGAGAGGTCAGTGAACGGGTTAAACATCCGTCTTTGTTTTTGGTAAAAAATGCGTCCTTTTAGGGAAAAACTGAACAATCGACTCCACACGAAATTTCCTTAAAAATCAAAGAAACTTATATATGAGACTTTGGTAATTTTATCAAAACTGTTCATAGTTCAGACATTATAAAATAAACTAAGAAGCTTAACTTTCAGATATTTCAATCTGATATACAATTACTGTTATTGTTAATACTAGTTTGATATTGTATTTATTCTGGATTAATGTTGATTAACAATTTCATTAATATTGATTAGTTGGGTTGAAATTGATTAATTGTTTGATCAAGGTTGATTAATAATTTGATTAATATTGATATATAGTTTGATCAAGGTTGATTAGTAATTTGATTAATGTTGATGATATAGTTTGATTAAAATTGATTAATAATTTGATTAATATTGATGATATAATTTGATTAAAATTGATTAATAATTTGATTAATATTGATGATATAATTTGATTAAAATTGATTAATAATTTGATTAATATTGATGATATAATTTGATTAAAATTGATTAATAATTTGATTAATATTGATGATATAATTTGATTAAAATTGATTAATAATTTGATTAATATTGATGATATAATTTGATTAAAATTGATTAATAATTTGATTAATATTGATGATATAATTTGATTAAAATTGATTAATAATTTGATTAATATTGATGATATAATTTGATTAAAATTGATTAATAATTTGATTAATATTGATGATATAATTTGATTAAAATTGATTAATAATTTGATTAATATTGATGATATAATTTGATTAAAATTGATTAATAATTTGATTAATATTGATGATATAATTTGATTAAAATTGATTAATAATTTGATTAATATTGATGATATAATTTGATTAAAATTGATTAATAATTTGATTAATATTGATGATATAATTTGATTAAAATTGATTAATAATTTGATTAATATTGATGATATAATTTGATTAAAATTGATTAATAATTTGATTAATATTGATGATATAATTTGATTAAAATTGATTAATAATTTGATTAATATTGATGATATAGTTTGACCAAGGTTAATTAATAATTTAATTAATATTAATAATATACTTTGATTAAAATTGATTAATAATTTGATTAATATTGATGATATAGTTTGACCAAGGTTAATTAATAATTTAATTAATATTAATAATATACTTTGATTAAAATTGATTAATAATTTGATTAATATTGATGATATAGTTTGACCAAGGTTAATTAATAATTTAATTAATATTAATAATATACTTTGATTAAAATTGATTAATAATTTGATTAATATTGATGATATAGTTTGACCAAGGTTAATTAATAATTTAATTAATATTAATAATATACTTTGATTAAAATTGATTAATAATTTGATTAATATTGATGATATAGTTTGACCAAGGTTAATTAATAATTTAATTAATATTAATAATATACTTTGATTAAAATTGACAAATACTTTTATTAAAATTGATCAATAATTTGCCTCCAATCCATCACCAATTTGCTCAAGTCCATTTAACAATTTTTTACCAATAATTAATAATCAATTAAAAATTAACCTACTGTTTCAACCACAAGTTAAATTTCTCCTCTCCACATGAAAAATGTTAATTAAATTTAACAATGAATGTTTTAGAAATTTATTAAAGTTACCATCAGGTACCATATTTCCACAATTCCCTCAGATCGTGTTTTTTTCTCGATAGTCCGTCTCGAAGGCATTGTTAATTCGTCTCACGAAATCCTGGCCCAATATGTTCCACCGGTACACCCTGTACATGCTCGGCCAAGTACGAAGATACATACAACATACCTACATGATACCCGGCAATGTGAGTCGATAGCGGAATGGGAAGCCCTCCAGGCTGCTCCAGCGTGGGAACATCAGCCACTTATACGTGCGAGCGCGAGCGCCGGGTCCTTTAAGTTCCTCCATACCGAACTCATCCAGCTATAATCTTGATCTTGTGTCCCGATATCCTCGTTGACGCGTGGAATCCGCCGAATGATATACGACACGCGACTGTTCGATTCTTGTAAACTTTCGATGGAGGAACAAGGGTGACTTCGTGGAGGAAGTTGCGAAACGTAACTTTTAGGGTTGTGGATAGTTGGGGCTGGAAGGGTCTTTGGAGCTTTTGGGTTTATTCTTTTTTTGGGGTGGAATTTTTGTATTTGGGAATTCGGGGTTTAGGAGTTGGGGAGTTTAGGGATTTGGGGGTTTGAAGGATTGGATGGTGAGGAGGTTGAATATTTGAGAATTTGGGGGTTTGGGAGTTGGGGAATTTAGGAATTCAGGCATTTAGGAATTTGGGATTTGAAGGATTAGGAGTTGAGGAGGTTCAATACTTAGGAATTTGGGGGTTTGGGAGTTTGGGAAATTAGGAGTTGGGGAATTTGGGAATTCAGGCATTTAGGGATTTGGGATTTGAAGGATTGGAAGTTGAGGAGGTTCAATATTTAGGAATTTGGGGGTTTGGGAGTTTGGGGAATTTAGGAATTCAGGCATTTAGGGATTTGGGATTTGAAGGATTGGAAGTTGAGGAGGTTCAATATTTAGGAATTTGGGGGTTTGGGAGTTTGGGGAATTTAGGAATTCAGGCATTTAGGGATTTGGGATTTGAAGGATTGGAAGTTGAGGAGGTTCAATATTTAGGAATTTGGGGGTTTGGGAGTTTGGGGAATTTAGGAATTCAGGCATTTAGGGATTTGGGATTTGAAGGATTGGGAGTTGAGGAGGTTCAATACTTAGGAATTTGGGGGTTTGGGAGATTGGGAAATTAGGAGTTGGATAATTTGGAAATTTGGGGGTTTAAGAGATTGGGATTTGGAAGATTGGGAGTTGAGGAGGTTGCACCTTTAAGGATTTGGAGGTTTTGGAGTTTGGGAGATTAGGAGATGGGAAGTTTGGGGATTTGAGAGTTTAGGAGATTGGACCTTGAAGAATTTGGAAGCTTGAGAGTTTAGGGGTTTGAGAATGTGGCAATTTGGAAATTTGATGAATTGAAAGTTTGAGAGGTCACAAATTTAGAAGTTTGAGGACTTGGGAGTTACAGAGTTTGGTCATTTGGTCCATTGAAAGTTCAGAAGCTTGAAAGATTCAGAATTTGTACAAGTTTGTAATTTAAAAAGGAATTGGCAAATGCAAAACTTTACTATTTTGAAAATTTAAATATTCAAAATTTAGGTAACTTCAAACCCATTGTCTGATAGGTCTATCACCTCTCTCTCACCGAAATGATCACCTAAACCTAATTCATTCATCAAATGCTTTCATCAATATCAATTTGTCAAAGCCAGAAACATATACATTAACTAAAGAATTGTATACGTCCTCAATTGTATCCTTGTACAACATACAAATACTAAACTTCCTCCAAGAAGAACTACGAAGCAGGTAGAAATTACCTTAGCAAGGGTATACTTGCGATCGACTAGCAAGTAGGCATTTGTATCCACCGTGTTTGTACCCACCGAAGGAAAATAGCTGATTGTAGGAGTGTTCGGATGTTCCCGGCAAGTGTACGCGTTTCATGGAAAAGTTGGCAAGCCACAAAACAGCACCGTTGTCGCGAACGCCCCAGGTACCTCGCTTTTAAGTTAATAACGCAATTACCGGCTGCCGCCGC